TGTTGAGCTCCTGCACTTCTCTTCTGTGCTCTGAGTGGAGCTCCTCGGCCTGGGTAAGGGCAGAACAAAGCTGAGACACCTGACTGATCTGGGCCAAGTTGTTTTCTTCCAGGGTTCTGAGGCTCAGATCCTTTTCTTCCAGAGACAGAGTCAGCCTGTAGAACAAGGCAACAGATGGCCATGAGAGACATTCATATACTTGGGTGCCTCAGAGGGGGTGGTGGAGTTGACCACTGTGTGAGGCAACACTTGGAAAGTGTCAAGCTTTGTCTGGGGTAGATGATGAGTGAGTCCAGAGCTTATGGGTCAGAATAAAAGGACAGACAAGTAAAGGTGACATTGTTGTGGGTGTTTGCTAGAGGTCACCTGAACAGGAAGAGAAGTAGATGAGGCTTTCTACAGGGAACATAAAGCAATCTCAAAGTCACAGGCCCTGGTTCTTGTGGGGGACTTTAGCTTCCCTGCCATCAGCTGGAGAAGGCACATAGTGCAGGATGTTCCTGGAAAGCACTGATGACAACTTGCTGCCACAGGCAGTGGAGGATCCCACAAGGAACAGCATGCTGCTCAACCTTACCCTAAGCATCAGGGAAGGCCTTGCTGGAGATGTGAAGCCTGAGGTCAGCCTTGGCTGCACTGCCTATGAGTGAGACTGTGAAGTTCAGCTGGGGGTGAGGAAAAAGCAGAGCAGCAAGATTACAACCACAGACCTCATGAGAGCTAACTTTAGCCTCTTCAGGGACCTTCTTGAAAGAAGCACATGGGAACAGGTCCTGCAGGGTAAAGGAGTCCAAGCTGATATTCAAGGATCACTTCCTCCAGGCTCAACTACAACGCATCCTAGTGAGCAAGAAACTGGGCAAAGGGAGCAAGCGACCTGAGTGGATAAGCAAAGAACTTCTGTCGTTCCTCAAGTGGAAGCAGGAAATACACAGGAGATGGAAGCAGGCTCAGGCCACTTGGAATGAACATAGAGACAGTGTTGGAGTAAGTAGAAATGAGACAAAGAAGACCAAGGACCACCTTGGAATTAAATCTTGATGTCCTTATCAAGAAGGGCTTTTGAAAATACATCAGCAACAAAAGGAAAACCAAGGATGATGGGTCTCTGTCTGTTCCTAAATGGAGAGGAGACCCTGGTAACAGAGGATGCAGAGAAGGCAGAGTTCCTGAGTGCCTTTATTTGCATCGGTCTGTACTGGACAAGACCAGCCCTCAGGGATCTCTGGCCCAGGAGACCAGGCTGAAGGAATGCTGGAAGGAAGCCTATCCCTTAGCAGGACTTTGCTTTCAAGGAGAACTGGGTTACTGAATGCCTGGGCAAACTTGACATCCACCAGTCCTCAGGCCCTGACAGATGTGACCATGAGTGCTGAGGGAGCTCATGGACACCAGAGTGAGGCCACTCCCCATTATCTTGGAAAGGTCATGGAGATAAGGAGAGGTGCCTGGGGGCTGGAAGAGAGCAAATACCATTCTGGTCTTCAGAAAGGGCGTGGAGGAGGACCCAGGGAATTATGGGCCTGTCAGAATCACCTCAATCCCTGGAAAGGTGATGGAGTACCTCATGCTGGAGGTCTCCTCTTCCCCACATGGAAGGACAAGAAGATAGGAATGGTCAGCACTGGATTCACTAAAGATAAATCATGACTGACCAACCTGATTGCCTTCTGTCTGCCTGGGTGGACAAAGGGAGAGCAGTGGATATTGCTTACGCTGCTGTCAGCAAGGCTTTTGACACAGTCACTCACACCATCCTCTTTGGGAACTCATGCAGCAGGGCCTGGAGGAGTGGACAATGGGCTGGACTGAGTGCTGGCTGAACAGCAGAAGCCAGAGGGGTGTAATTAGTGGCACAGGGTCTCACTGGAGGCCTGTCATTAGTGGTGTCTCCCAGGGTTCACTCCTGGGCCCAAAGTTGTAGAACTTGCCCATCAATGGCTTGGATGAGGCAGTGATGCCTTCCCATGAGGGCCACTGTGCATCCCCTCAGAGGGATCTCAGCAGGCAGAGAGGAACCTTCTGAAATCCAGCAAGGAACAGTCCCAGGTACCTGCACAGGCTGGGGCCAACCTGCTGG